TGGCTAATTGAGTAGTTGAGAAGGAAGATGCTTCAATACCTTTTAATGAAGCTGGGAGAAATTCACTGCGAAAAGCATGAAGCTCTTTGACGAGGTTCTTGACAACCTCTCCTTCATTGATGTCCCTCCCTCATAACAGAGCCAAGTTAACTTGATCCAAGATGGACTGATTGGTCCCTCATTGATAGATTTTAGTCTCCCATGATTGGTTACTCTAAATCTCCGAAGAATTAAAACACCTTGAAATGCCTACCTCCAACCGCTAAATGACCCTTTAAGAAATCTTCTGGTATCAAATGGGATCCTGTCCTTTTTAAATTCATAAATATGAGGCTCAAGCACAGCAATTTCCCAAAGACTTCCAAAAGTTGGTGGAACACTGCTCTAATCTTGAAGGTTGGCTAAGGTATGGTCTGATTTGCAAATTAAAAAAAAAAAAATGAAAAGCTTGCTGAAAAGATGGAACCTTCAGAAAAGCTGAAACTCTTGATGATCCCAAAGCTCTAGACCACTTGCAAAACTTTTCCCTGCTTGAAGCAAACGGTCTTCTCAAATTAATCTCGAATCCCAACTCAATGATCTATTTTGGAAAGAGATTTGTTTAGACACGAAGATACAATCCACATAGCTCGCAGGAGACATGTCAAGAAGAGAAGAATATTATAACACTAGCTCTTTCCACAGATATTGAAAAGGCGTTTCTTGCTTTATCCAAGATCCATACTCAAATAACAGGTGGCAAAATTTATATCAAACAGTTTGGGTCGGTTCTCAACCTTCGAGACATCCAAGGATTGCTTCAGATCGAGGCTAAATTTCGAGTAGACAAAATTATTTAAGCTATTTCACATTTGGGAAGTAAGAAAGCTCAAAAACCTGATGGATTCACCACTACTAAATCCTTCTAGAACTCTTGAAACACCCTCAAGGAAGATATTACGAGTATTCCAATATCTTTTTTCAGAATGATATTCTCAATAAATCCCTCAAAGAAATCTAATGCAAAGATTACAAAACATTTTCGTCCAATTAGCTCAATCTCAATTTCTTGCCTCTACAAATATATAACAACCCGCGAATCCTACATTTCCATTTTTTCAACCAAACAAATTCCTCAACAACCAGTCAAAAAGAAGAAAATGGCCTCCACCTGAATAACCTAAAAGAATTTCTAAAACTCCCAGGCAGACTCGTCACAAAACCGATAATGACATTGCTTCGCAAAAAGCAGGCACATGAATGTTAAAAGGCCAGGGTAGTCCGTACCACGAGAGTGTCGTCAGTATAATCGCCCATGAATTCCTTCATCTTCAGCTTTATCCTCTCCCTGAGCTTCGTCATTCCCTCGCCACTGAAATCAACCTTGAACGTTCGATCATCGACACGATCCTCACTACCCATCTCGGATGCGTTCTATCACCAAGATTCACAATCGAGAACACCGAACGCTTAATTTTAATAACACTAACACCGGAGTTCAATCGATATTCAAACCCTCAATTATTAAACTCCCGAATTGCAGCTTCCATGAACCCTAGCCGGTTCCACCGATCCTGTGAAAACTGGACAGAGAAAACCGATTAACAAGGAAGCGGCTGGAAATTAAACGCAGAAACGCAACGGAGAGCGGATTTCATCAGAGAACATGGCCGAGGGAGAAAGATTTGAGATGAACAGAACAAAAATGGAAAAATAGAAAAATAGAAAAATGGAAAAATGGAAAAACGGAAAAATGGAAGGGCTTACTCGTAAATACGTTTTGCATTACAGCATCTCATTGCTTTTGGGCCCTGTTTTTTGCGAAATTACTCTAAATGGGCCGATCAATTTGGGCCATGATTTTGGAATTCCAATTTTTTAAATATTTAATTAATCCTAACCTAATTAAATTTTTAAATAATTAATTAATAAGTTAGATATAAATTTGAATTTGATACCTAATCAAATTTCAAATTTTAATTTGGTGTCTGATGAATTTTTAAAAGAATAAAAAGTAAGTTTATTATACATGATAAAATATTATTACCATTAATTTAGCGGACAAAAATTAAAATACATTTTATTAGTCTCCTTTTAAAAATTTGAAGTTACTCGTCTTTATTTTATATAGTTAGTCTATTGTGCGCATTCAACATTTAAATAATATATTTTTACTTATAATATGTTATTATAAATTTAAATGTAATTACAAGAAAGTTTGTAATGATTTAAATAAATGTGTAATTAAACAAAGTTTATCGATAGTTAACAAAAATAAAGCAATAAAATGTTGAATATAAGATAAATAATAAGCATTTTAACTCACTAGTACAACGTAAAATGCTTACCTAACCATTTAAATATTTATTAAATTTTTTTTTTTCTTTTACATATGACTAGCAATTTCACATTATATAATTCTTTTTTATTTATTTAAATGTATACTTTTTTTCCTCCCAAATTATTTATAATTATTTTCATTTTTTTTAAAGAAGTATTTGAATTACTAGTTAATTTTTTAAAAAAATTATTTTGTTAAAAAAGAAAAAAAAAAAGCTTAAACTTCAAACCTTTGTAAGAAGTAAATGACACAACAGAAATTTGTATTTTAGCCTAATTTATTTTTTATAATAAATAATTTATAATCAAATTATACAATGTAGTCCACATTTTTATCATTAAGTTTTGAAAATATATTTTTTAAAAAATAATTTATAGAATAAATGAAATATTATGAAAAAAAAAAAACAAATGGATGAAAATTATAAAGATGATAATTAGGTTTAAGCTAAGAATAATTTGGTTCGTGGAATTTGGACTTGTGAATGGCAATACAAAAGTAGGGAAAAGAAAATAAAAAGTCAACGTTTGACTTGGTCAAGGACAAAATTGCCAACTAGGTTCGCAGTAGTGGGCCCACAAGTAGCCAGCGTGGATATTAAATTAATTAGAAATAAATAATTGGGGTTCCGTATCAAATCTCGACGCCTTCCTTGATGCTTCACCCTAATGGACGACAGCTTATTCCCACTAATTAATGTTATAATTTTCTTCACATTTTTTCTTAATTATAAATATTCACATTTGTTAAGAAATTAACGATTTAATTTATTTTGTTCTCATAATTAAATTTTATTTTAAGTTAATATTAAAATATTTGTAAATAATAATAATTAAAAAAAAAAAACAGAAAGAACACAAGTCAAATTTGGTCCATATATTTTAAAATTTTAATTTTATGTTCGGTAAATTTCTTAATTTTTAGTTTATGTCTAACAAATTCATTTTTTAATTTTTTAATATCAAATAATTTTTAAATTTTTTTTATTAGATGTGAGGTAATTGTCATAAAGTTTTTAAGTTTAATAAAACGTGACCGGTCAACTCATATTAATTAAATTATTATTTATTTTCTTAGGGTTTAGGGAGAAAGAAAGACGGAGACATTTTAGGCGTGTAGACTTTTTTCGGATTAAAGGGAGACGCGTATAATACGCACGTGTATTTCACGTGCGAATATGAAAAAAGAAAAAAGAAAAAAGAAAAAGAAAAGGCGTTGCTAATGTTGTTGGGTTGCTGCTTGCTTGGTGAATGGTGACAGAGCTAAATGACGAAAATACCCTTTCCTAAAAAAGCGCTATCCAGAGAAATGTTCCTCTGCTCTGCAGTCAGATAGGGCGGCTTCAAAAGCCTCCTTTTCCTTTTTTTTTTTTTTTAATATTATATTAAATTAAAAATTAATGTAATTGTATCTTTAAAATAATATTTCTCTCTCTCTCCATCATCACCTCCACCTGGCTCCGCGTGTACGTCGTGTATTTACCTATTTACCCTTAGATTTTATTCAAACCATAAATGTCTTTTTTTTTTTTAATAAATTAATATTCTTACTAATTAAAACTTAATTGAACGTTTAATACATTTCCATCTAAATAAATAAAAAATTTAAGATGTTTCTACAAAATAGTATTTTAACCTTATTCATATATTTTCGGTGTAATCTTTTTTAAGTTTACGATAAATTAATTAAGAACTAAGAATATTTATATATTATGAATTTTGCGAAAATAAAATATATTATATCTTTTTTTTTTAATAGTAATTTTAAGTATTTAATATTTTTAATTAATTATTTTGTTTTTAAATTTAATATCGTCAAAGAAATGATATGAAAATAACATGCAAAGGTCTCGAATAAAGTCATTTTTTATTATATCTAATTGAATAATTTATTTTGTAATTATAGGCGGAACACCTTATGAAACTTGTGTGTAGTTAAATGTTATTGAGTTTTTTAATTATTAAAAAAAACATTTATCTACCGAAACATATTACATTGATAATTAAAATATCATAAAATTCAAATATCAAATATTTAGGAATCATAATGCATCACTAATATCGGTTGCGTTGTAACCCTATTTTTGGGTTGACTTGACCAAAATAATTCAACCTACAAATTGAACGGTAGCTTTGGTCTTCTAAAAATGAAACTAAACTTTATGGTTTGAATCGGGTAGTATGAATTAATCGAGTTATCAAGTCATATGAAACCCTAACTATTGACCAACATTGGTTCGGATTTGTTATTTTTTTCAAATCCTTATATGAATAATTATATACTAAACTAAATAAAATATGATGACCAATAAATTATAAATAGATGTCAACTAGAATATAATTTATTAAATAATATGTCATTATCATATTAAAAAAGTTTGCGACGAATAAAGAAGGAAAATAAAAATGCAGTAGACGAACTACCCATTGACTTTGACGCAGACAATGAGCATCAAAAGGCGGTTAATAAAAATAATCATGTGGCTTAGGAAGCGGACTCAGGGAAATAAAAATAGAAAGGACCACAGGCAATAATTTTTCCTTTTTTTAACGAAGGCCTGCAACGTCAGAGCTAATCCAGGACCACCAGAGGGATGGGAAGGTAAATAGATAAATACGAGGAGGGTATTTATGTCAATGAGGGAAAAAAGGAGAAATTGTTTGATGCGCGTGTATGAGGCCCATATTCTATCTCAAAATCGCGGCCCCTTTTCCATCCCTTCATATTACCGCTCCTCGCTCCCTCCTCCTTCGACAAATCCTCAAAATCCATCCAACAATTTTTCTTCTTAATTCTTTGTTGTTGTTGTTGTTCTTGTGTAAATCTTACGGAGAGTCGGATCGGAGAAATGGCTCAGAGGACCGAGAAGGAGGAGACGGAGTTGAAGGTACCGGAGACCATCACGTTGTGCGTCAACAACTGCGGATTCACCGGTAATCCGACCACCAATAACATGTGCCAGAAGTGCTTTAACGCCACCACGGCCACGGCGACTACGATATCGTCGTCGTCTTCGAATACTGGAATATCGGTGCCTCGGAAGTTGTCAGGTGAGAAAAGTTCGAGATCTAGATCTCGATCGCCTGTGCTAATGGATTCCGTTCGCGACAGTAGCAGGAATATGTCCGTGGATCGGTTCAAATCTGAGGAATCTGCCAAGCGTCAGGTGAATCGATGCTCCGGATGCAGAAAGAGAGTCGGATTGACCGGTTTTCGATGCCGATGTGGGGAGCTGTTTTGCGCTGAACACCGGTACTCCGATCGCCATGACTGCAGCTTCGATTACAAAGCCGCTGGTCGCGACGCGATTGCAAGGGAAAATCCAGTCGTTAAAGCGCCGAAGATCGTTAGAGTCTGATTTGTATAAAACGTCAAAAAAGACAAAAGATAGAACAATCATATTTGATCTGATATGTCAAATTTAAGATCGTGGACTCGAAAGAGAAAAATGGAATTTCTACGGAAACGAAGGTTTTATAAATCCTGCAGTTTCTCTCTCGTAGATCACAGATCTGTTGAGAGGGAGCGAGGAATTAGTCGTCGAATATCAAGATCATCGTGTTTGATTGATAAATATGAATTATCTCGTTTATTATTAATTTTTCGATTTATATTTCTGCTTCAATCCATACTTCTTCTTCCTTCATGTTTCTGGCTTCTGGAAAATGAAAATCAAAAAATTACTTGTAGGTCTCTTCCATATTCAATCGATTCTCGTGTTCTTCTCTTCCGTTTCCTCTATCTTCGAATCGTTCATATGGCAGATTTCGTAAATTCGATTGAAATTTCGGAGCCGGTGGACTTTTCAGTTGTTTGCTCGATAATTTTCCTGGTTGGGAATTGGGAAATGCAAAAACCATGTGCTCGGCTCGGCAACAACATCTCTCGAGAACTGAAAGAGATACGAGATGGTTAAAACGCGAGAACGGCACGCCAGATATCGTGATTAATATTGGCAATCAGAAGGGCTAATGAAAAGGTGCCACGTGTCTGTTTTAGACAGATGTACAGAGCAGTTTGTGGTACTGATGGGTGAAACAATATTTTTTTTTAGCGCAAAGGCGGAGAGAGCGGTGAGATGAATGACACGTGTACGAAGAGAAGGATGAGAAGGAGGATCGGACGGCTATGATGTGGTGGAGGGTACGTGGTGGCGCGTGGACAGTCTGGCAGCATTTTAAGTAGGTGGGGAGAGGATGTGCGATATGAATAAAAGCTGTCAATAAATACAAATTTGTCTACCTCATTATTCCCCACTCCCTCGTTTATTAACAATAAATATATCAATTATAAATTTATTTTCTCAACTGTTAAATGTACTAAAAAAAAATTATGAATATTAAAAAATGTACTCTTTTAAATTTTTACTTTTTCTATATTTTTAATTATGAATAGATTTATTAATTTTAAAAAATATAATATGTTAGGAAAATGTAGTTGTAATTGTAATTACTTTTTCAAATATTTTTATTATTAAGGGACTTAAAAAAATTAAAAATTGAGAAATTAAATACCACAAATACAAAAATTTCAATATTTAAATTACAATTTTACTAAAATTGTAAAAGTAATTTTTTTATTTATCCAAAATATACCAAACGAAGATTTTAATATTTACCTTAAAAAAAAGAAATATAAAAGAAAATTAAAGTGAAACGTGGGCCCGAATAGTGCCACCTGTACTCTCTGTAGGGACCATAATAAAGTGGAGGCATGGGCTTCCATATCTATATTTAATATTATTTAAAATATTTCAATACATATTTAACCAATTTAAATATCATTTAAGTTTTAAATATGTATTTTAATTAATGCATATAATTTATTTAATTCTTTTTGTTTGAATGTATCTGTACAATAAATATATTTTCTAGGTTAAATTTAACCTTTCAAATTAAATAATTTTTTAATTTATCTAATATTTTAAATATTAATTTAAATAATACATGTTTTTCTTTGGATCTACAAATTACAAGTTCAAATGATACAAAATTAATTAATCAATTTTCATTCTTTAATTATAGGTTACCCTTGTAATGTTTCTGACGGAAGAATGACTAAGTCATTGATCATCTAATAAACAATTTACTTATAATTCAATCATTAACTAAGTCTATCTCGGGACAATGAGAGAATGAGACTCCATGATCATTCCCTAAATTAGCCGATGTGAGACTTTTATCATCCAACACCTCCCCCTCAAACAAAGTACGTCTCCCCTTAATCGATTCTCGACTCTCGACAATGGTATGATATTGTCCACTTTGAGCATAAAGCTCTCATGGCTTTGTTTTGTACTTCCCTAAAACGGCTCACACCAAATAGAGAGAGTATTCCTTAATTATGAACTCATAATTATTCCCTAAATTAGCGGTTCGTGCTTTCATGATCCAACAATATTATTTTCAAAGATTTAATATTCCTAAATCAAAATCAGGTGGGCCCACAACTTTGTTATTATTTTCCTTGAAAAATATATATATATTTTTCATATTTCCAAACGGTTAGACCTAATTTTGAGGACTTCGCCCTTTTTCAACTTTAAACATAATATATAATTGTATTTTTATACCGAAGTTTTGAAGTCTGTTCATACTTCCTTTAAAAAAAAAAAATTAAAAAAAAACTTTTAATTTATACAATTTGTCTACAAAATTGTTTTTTTTTTTGTCATTCTCATAATATTCAAACTTTCTATTCAGTAAACTATGAGTATAATAATAAAAATTGAATTATATATTTGGTTGTTGAGGAAAAAATGTTGAGGAAAAAATGGATAATTTTATAAACATAATTGGTGCGTAATAAATATAAAGCAAATGGCACTTATGAACTTATTTATTTGTTTATTAATATTAATAATATTATCTGTTGAAAGTGGACTGTGACACCAAAGCCAACAAAATCAATTTCTTTCTGATCTGCGACTTACCTTTCACTTTTCTTCTCCATCTTTTGGCTGCAACATAATTGGATTTTGCTGATATAAGTTCCCTAAAATAAATAAATAAATAAATAAAATAAATGAATAAAAATGGATGGAATTTTGGTCAAAACAATTAAATCCTTGATGCTATGGAGCCAAAAGAGCAATCTAGAATTATGCTATGTGCTACAAAAATTCAAAAAGAATATACTCCTCTCTCTATATATAAAGGCAGATTGAGAATAATATTCATTATCGAGCTCTATCTTGTTTGATATGATATCTTAATTTTATTGATTTAATAAAAATTCTCTCGATTACATCAAAATGGTAGGGTGTAACCAATTTTGAATTTGAAACTTTAAAAGGAGAATTATATTAAAAAATATCTGATTTTATTTTGTTAATATCAATAGTATAATATATATAAATTCTATGATATTGTAACCCTAATAAGATAAGTTTTGTGTCTATTTAGTATCTAAAGTTTTAAAAATGTCTAATAAATTCTTAGACTTCAATGGTATGCCTACATGTTTCTAAACTTTTAAATAGTTTATAAATCATTATATTTCCAATTTTATGTTTAATAAATCTCTAAATTTTTTTAGTATCTTGTAAATATAAAAAATTCAAATTGAGTAGCTTCATTACCCACCAAACAATTTCATGTCTAATAAATCAATTTTTTTTCAGAAAAATATATATATATATATAAAACTGGAACTTCAAAAATATACTTTTTCAATAATATAAAAATATATATACAATAGTTCAAAGATCTATTAAAACTTATTAAGATACAAAATTGAAAGTTTGCGGATAAATACATTTCTTATACCTTGATCTATATCAAAGCTCCGAGCCTCATCCTAAAATCAATCCTTCCCATAGGTTATTGTCCCAATGAATAAATAATCAAGATTAATTACATTCCATATTATACCATTGGTATGAATTAAAATAACAACCCTCTCACTTGGAACATTAGTGTTGTAAAAAAAAAAAAAAAAAATTATGAGAAACTGTTTACTATTTACTTTTTAGACTCAAGAAACTATTTTTATTTTTATTTATTTATTATTATTTTTTTTTTTTTTGTAGGGAAGAAAAAAGTAGAGAGTCAAATCAATCCCTATCTTGCTACAGATTCTTAATCCCAAAAAGTCTCCTGCTTTCCCTGTTTGTCACGGTCATAGAAAGGCACTCATGCAAAGCACCCTATATTACATATGATTCCATAGAAATCAATTAAAATGAATATAGAAAAACGTATATATCCTATTTTGGTTTAAAGGTCTGTTCCATTTTGGCCTCTTTTAATCCCTAAATTGAAAAAAATAACCATGGTAGACCATTGACCTTCATAATACCTATTTTTTGTCTCTTAAACTTTTACAAAAAAGAATAAAAGAAAAAAAAAAAATCTTGGTCCTCATTCTATTACTCTGTAATAAAAATAAAAATAATCTTGAACTTGCATAGTTCGAATACATGTCTATATTAATAGACAAATATAGACATATAGACAATGTGTTGAAATCAAAATAAATATAAGAACTAAAATAATTACTTCTAAAAGTTCATGTCCAACATGGTGAAAATTCAGGGTCGAAAGTGAAATATTTTTAAAAGTTTTAAGACCAAACTCAAATTTAAACCCAAAAGGGAACTTGGCTAGGGGAATAAGAGAGATGACGCTGCATTATCTAAGTTATATGTTCAGTCACAGTTATTTTTCCAACACTCATACGGACTGGCACCTCTTTTTTTTTTTTTTTTTTTTTTTTTTTT